ACTTCATAAAAACCGAATAAATGAACAGAAATTCTATCTTCGACAGCCTAGACAAACTTTTGAAGTCAGTCAGTCGCAATGTAGAACCTGTTAGTATATACATCGGTTCAAGTTGTCATACCCCATCAGCACAGATAGATGTTGTAAGACCAAATCCCAGAACAGTAGACATATTAAAAGCATCAGTGGTAATAGGAAAGATTAGGCATCGAAGATATGACTTGAAAAAATATAAGTTAGCGAAATAAAAAATAGTTTAGTGGAAACTTAATTCCATATAAACAAAGATGGATAGTGGCCAGCAGTGGAATCCAGGACGCACATTTCGTCCTATTAGGGACTCGTCATCTGGATGCACCTGCAACTCAGAGTTGATGTTCACTCTGGAGCTCGAACCTAGTACTTTTCGCCCCAAACGCTATCGCGTTATCCACTCAGCTACTGAGTCCTGAGAGCCACTTGATTGCACAATAGGGTGAAGTTTAAATTCACTTGGTATTGTTTTACTTAAATCTTCCCATTGATGTTTAGGACTGTAATTGATCAGTCTCTTATTGGCATATGTGCATCACGTGCTGATTGCCTCGATATAGCCTTAATTCACAAGCATTATGGACAGAGATAGATAGTGACTAGCAGTGGGATTCAGGACGTGCGTGGATAACGCGATGGCGTTTGAAGCAGAGGTATTGGATTCGAGTCCCAGAGTGAACATCAACTCTGAGACGCAGGTACATCCAGCTGACGAGTCCCAAATAAGACGAAACGCGCGTCCTGGATTCTACTCCTAGCCACCGTGCATCCTTGCTTATATTGCTTGTGAATTAAGGCTATATTGAGGCAATCCGCACATGATGCATATATACCAATAAGAGACTGATCAATTCCAGGCCTAAACTTCAATGGGAAGATTCAAGTAAAACAATACCAAGTGAATTTAACTCCATATAGTTTATTAACAAAAGAATTCAACATTACCGTACCGACCAACACTTAGTTTTACACCTGATGTACAGTTTTAATTTGATTTATTCTCCCGCCACACACATACGTACACATATTATTTGGTATTGGTTTAATATTATTCCAAGTATACTTGAAACAAGTGAATAACAATTAACCGATAACAATAATAATAGACTTATAATAATGACAATACTAATGAAGCTGATAGTCAGTGACTCTTAATGTAACGAATTAAGTGAAGAATAAAATGACAGGTTGATATTTCCCGATCACCAACGGCTTTTTATAACCATCTTATCAATGTACAAGTAAATATTGATATGATTAATTTCTTCAGTCCAGATAATGACAAGAAAATGCTTCTTGCCCAAGTTTCACAAAATACAACTTGTCATTTGTGGTGACTATAGTTTCCGGATTTAAGTAAAAACTAGTTTAGACCTAGATGTGCGTTTACATTGTCCACAATCAAGATATATGTGTCTTCACATGTATGTGTATGTTTACATGATGAAGCGGTAGGGGATAAACTAGACAAATCAACCATTCTCATTTGTATTGGGTTTTTTAAAAAGAGAAACATACTGGTTGCAAACACTAATTTATAGGAGCATGTCAATGCTGAAAATGATGTGTACAAAAAAATATCCGTTAACTAATATTTAAAAAATTGCAAATTGACTACTATATCCATCATACGTTCAACATAGCAGTAACACAAACACAAATAAATTATAAGTGGATAATATGAACATTAAAGTTGACTGTCAACCCTAAGATTTATTTATTTAAGAAATAAAAGTGAATATTTTACTATCTACGGTAAATTACAAAATCATAACACGCATATACAATCACAGGATGATATTTTGGGTGTTTGAAGTAAAAGGTACTTTGTTCGATTCCCAACGTGAACATCAACACTGGAATTAAGGTATACCCGACTGAAAAGTATTAAACGGGACGAAACGTGAATTCTAAATTCAAAATATACTGAGTGACGATGTTTTGTTTCCAAAAAAATACAATGAAGCAAGAAACCAGAATCTACACATCCATATTCCAACATTTTGACAGGTAAAATAACAATAAACACAGAACGACAACATAATCTGAATAACTAATAATAATGCTAATTATATTTATAGTAATATGTATAGATGTTGTTCAGCTTTTCAAATTCTCTCCAGGATGTCTATCTATTATTTCATCACAAGCCATTAAAAATGAAAAAAAAAAGTTATTTTCAGTATGGTGTGGAGATTGTTAAATTTCTTTGAAATCATGTACCGATTGAGTGGTAATTTTTGGAGTTCCAGTGAGAAGCTGTGACTAGTGGAGGTAAACCGTGTTAGGTGTGAGGCAGTCACCCATCGAATACAGTGGAAGTGGTTGCGCATTGTCGTGGATTGACTGATATTAGAAATTAACACCGTTGAATGCCAGCTCACTGGTCTACAGGTTAAGCGATAGTGCGCGAGACCGCGGACCATGAGTTCGAGCCCCGCGTGAGGGATCGTCGATTCGCACCGTTGATGAGTCTCATAATAAGATAAGACAGCCGTCCGGTGCACCCAGGTTTTCAATGGTGGTCTAACTTGAATCTATTCATATCAATCAAAAACGTTACTGATTTAAATATAGTAGCAACAAATGAACTCATGAACATTTTTACTTTCAACAGATAGTGCATATATAAGGTGATATCTTGAAAATTTCATTTTTGAACATAGTAAATTTATTCTGAATAAGTTTGATGAAAACAATTCAGTAAGTATTTGATTTACAAAATGATAATATAACTTTATAGTAACAAATATCTACCGATGATGACTACCGTATGCTGTAATTCAGCTCTCAGTTATTTGAGTCAGGAATGAGTTTCGACACGAATACAGATATATATCTGCTGGCTAATAAGAGCTACGGTAAAAACTCTCATTTGTTACATGACCATAAACATTACAAAATTACACTTGCCCAAATTAAACTGTGAGAAAAAACATAAAACTAGATCACAAGTCTTACATTTGAAATGAAATAGTAGAATATACATGTACAGATTCAAGCTTATTGAATAAACGAAGAACACATTCTAACAAAGTTGGAATCCTATCGTGTAGAGAGATATACACGAGTGAAACTTGCCACTAATTAAAAAAACTGGAAGAATAAACTGAATTCTAGGGTTAGAATAATAACAGTAATAAATCACACGGTTAACTGGGACATCAATAGTACACTCGTAAAATATGATAGCTAGTTATAATTTGTTACACAAAACAAATAAATATACACAAGGAAGATGGAAAATGTTTTCATTTAGGGAAAAATTGTTCTTTTGGAGATCCTATATAGCTACTTCACTCTCACAACTACATATATGTACAGATACATATATACACACACACTAAGGTACCATCTTTTCTATAGAGGATTTCATCATCACAAATAATGCATTTAGACAATATGTGTGCAGACGTCATATTTGCGTGTGTGAGAGATTGAGTTAACAAGTAACTGTTTTATTTATATCGAAATATGTTCGGACAAACTAAAATATGTCATTAATTAATTAACTAATTACTTAATGGAAGAATGATTAACGAATTAATAAACAATATTAAAACCAGAATGTCATTTGACAAATAATAAGTAGGTTTCATGGTATCCTGCCTTATATGCACGTATGTACAAAATCAGTGCGCATATAGCTAAAATTTTCAAAACAGTTCTCACGATTTCCAATTGACAATCGAATGATACTTGGCATTAATTAGTCTTGGTTACAAATGATTAATCATTAATAAACATGTGAACGCATACAACAAGTATTTATGAGAGAATTTATAATGTTTACACTAAAATAAACAAAATGGGAGACATGTAATCGATTACTTCAGCATCCAAAGTATTAATTAATAGTTATTAACTATTACTAATAAGTAGTAGTGTTTTCAAAGACAAGGAAATAAGGAAATGCAATATCAATAATAGCCAGAATACTGCATTTGAAATACGAGTACTAGGTATTGGCATCCAGTATTATTTCGTACATAAGTGATTCCCTACAGACAGAACATATTTTCATCAGAAGAAGTTAGGTATTGTATATTGGTAATATTGAAGTGTCAAAGTAAGCTGATAACAAATTTGTAGCGTTTGATATTTGATTGGTGGAAGAGGAAAAAATCATCTCGTTCAATAATACTTATTCAGTAGAGGTAGGAATGTACTATTCCAATTATATAGAATAGCTGTTAATCGACGATCAGTGGTTCAGTTTGGAAAGCATATAAGCATTATTACTAATTACTGTAAAACCGTGTTGTTTACTAAGATACATTTAAGTTTACTCAACTAAGTAACGCTGGAATCGCTTTCTATAAATATAATGTATGTATCAAGTTCTACAAAAGAGTAGGTCGATGACTATACGTATACATAAATGTTAAATGATCAAAAAAGTGCTAGTCTGTCCTCAACATGTCCTCAATATAGACTTCAGGTAAAGGAGAATCAAATAGCAGAGATAACTTGTCTAAGAAGATACTATCAAATTCGAAATGAAGCCATCAATCTATCAAAACGCTAGGTATATCCTGACAGCTTTCAAGAGTATAGAGAACTTTGGTCGTGGGGTTTTCATGGTTCTTCTGAACAACATCATAATCACAAACTTTAGGTAGAAGTAAATTATTCGAATTTCTCCAAATATGACTAACAGCTTTTCCTGTCGACCTCGATTTTGATCAGAAATATGGAGAACTAACAACATAAAATTAAAGTAAACCGGTGTACTTTTTTTAATTCATCCCATTGTGAATTAAGAACGATAACCTTGACAGCTAGCAGAATAATCAATGACCTCATAAGTTTGTTTACATTAAAGACACACATGCACATAAAATAATGACATGATAATTTGTATAAACAACAATACAAAAAAAATAAATGCACACGAATCAGTTCAGAAAACAAATCTAAGAATCAATTAAATACACAAATGAACAGCATAACATGAAATGACTTACATGATTCAAAAGTAACTTCTGAAATAACAATCCAATCATAATCAAACCATAGTGTAATCCGTAGATAACGACCTATACGAAATCCTAAATCAATAGGGACCCAACGAGGTTTAGAGTTATAAATATCACGATGTATATCTACAACAACCGGTGGATAAATTCGATCAAAATAACGACCACCGTTACTGAATTGAACAGAGATTCGACGAAAAAGAGCAATATAGTCTAATGAATTCAAAGTATGGATACGGATCTGTGAAAAGTTACGAGCTGTAAAAGAATTGGATATATGAGAAGAAAACAATTATGTGATATTATTGTAAACATTCAGTTTTATATTCAAATATGTCAAGTAAACTCCAAAGCGTTAACGAACAAATTTATGTTAACAAAGAAACAATGAATAACAAGAATATTTCTTCTAAATGGCAGATTCATTTAAAAGTTGAATAGATTCCCATCGCAGAAAACTACCAGAATAAACATGATTATGTGAATTTCGAACTTGAAGGTTGAGTTTCGATCCTGAGAGGAGTTGTGGGTACACGTGCTACCCAGGAGATCTCAAAAACAAGAACGAAATAGCTGATCAGTGGTTCTTAATTTTTAATAATTATCTAACCTTACAGAAAAACATAAAAATATGCATTTCACTGGATATATATGTAAATGGTAAATCAGTAAAAACTAAGATTCACTGAAAAATTGCCTGATCTTAACACAAAATAGTGCAGGATTGAACATAAAATTTTCAAGTTTTGCAGGGTATGATACCATCCTAGCCTATGATTGTTAAAAAAAGCTGAAATCTAGCCTCTCAAAATTATATGGAGATTGGAGAGAATGAGGAAATTCATTATTAAACAGCATGACCAATCTTGATTAAAAAAAACTTAACATGAGTTCCTTTGACTTTACGTAAAGGCCAGTAACACACCATACAACATCTCTAGCAACAGTATGAATATCTGAACTCAATTGCTAGTATTCGATAACGAGCCTGTTAGTAAAGAAACTTTAATAGTACTTAAGAACGTCTTGTTCACAATCTGATCCCTTATTCACTTCACCTCTAGATTGATGTGATTAACGTGTTATCACGGTAAAGAAACTCCGTTAGTTTGATGACAGTTTCTGGGTGACAGTTTACCAAATACTCATATAACTAATCAAATAAAGTGGAATACCCTAGATAGATTTACATGTTATTTTAAAAACCATCTATACTTGAAAAGGAACATAGTTACATTACAACATGATCCGCCTCGTTTGAACTGAAGTTTATCTTTGGAGAGATTTAAGGTTAACAAAAGATGGCAGATTGTTTATTCTTCGGTAAACAACTGATTGACAGTTACCATAATGAAATGATGCAATAAAGAGACGAATCGCGAACCTTTTACATGGTGATGACTCACAAGTAAGTTAACATCCAAATGAGCATTACTCAATCAATCACACTTTTGGACTGGCTTTTTTTTCAGGCAAAAGAGTTATACCAGACGGATTAGATAACTTAATTTTAAAGATTAATCATGCTCGCCCAGTTCCCCCTACCTTTGTCCATCATTTTAATGTTAACCTTGCAACTAGAATATTCAGGTCAAGGTGACTGAACTGTCTGAGTTTGATTAAGATAAATTAAACCTGTCTGTCACAAAAAAAATATCACAAAAAAATTATCATTATTACAATTATGATCAGATGATCACACGTAGTAGTGGGATGTCATGCATCATGTACCACTAATGTAGTGTATATGTCAATATACACATGCCTTTCTTCATAAAAGCTAACAGAGACGCAAGTTTCGTTCAAAGTTTTAGAAATAATTTAATAGTTGAATTCATGAGCTGATTAAAGCTAGACCATCATGGAAAAGCTGGAAGCAATGGATGGCTGCTTTGTCCTAGTATGGGACTCCTCAGTAGTGCGCATCAACTATTTTAGAAATACTTCATAAGCAATCATAGTTGCGTCATGTAAAAAGCCTATGAGAACATATAATGATAAGGGGATTTCTGAGAAATTCATAATCTCCTATAGATTATAAAGTTAGATGATGATAAACGATATACTACAAAGTTTCTTCATATGACTGATCAGATATCTAGCAATTAGAAGTCTATTTGTTTTCAACTTGTCAAATAGAGACTTATGTATTTAACTTCAAACTGTACTCTAAATGTGAGGGACTAGCGATATTACCCAGTTGCCTAACCCGAAATAATTGGAGAGTGGGTCAAACCTACGACTTAATGACTGAGAGTAGAACGTCACTGCTCCAGATTGAAAAGCCTAGTAACAAACCAAAACAGCTGTTAAGCATTTTCTATAATTGAAATGTTATTCATCTGGTATCTATTTATTTCAACTTAACATTTAATTTACATATAACCAGAAAAACGATAATCGCATTCATCATTTGATTATTAATTTCGGTATAAAAAATATGTTTACTGGACAACTAAATTCGTGTTGTTAAAATGTACAGCGTTTGTATGAATTGCAGTACAATCATTTATATATATATATATATATATATATATCGGGGTGGGATCGAGAATGTGCACTACTGAAGAGTCCCACACTAGGACGAAACGGCTGTCCAATGCTTCCAGGTTTTCTATGGTGGTCTGGCTTCAATTGACTCATGATTTCAACTATAAAATTACTATATATCTCCACCAAACCCCCTTCTGATGTATATCCGACTAAATTCAAAAATTTATTTCCCACTCCTAATTACTAATTAAGAAAGCAGGCAAAAACTTAAAATATTGAAACTAACATGAAGGAAATATTTTTAAAATGTACATAGAGTACTGATTTGGAATTTCAAGGCAGAAAAAACCATCCAACAAAGATAATAATAATAATCTAATTTCGAGAAAATCTCGGAATAAAATTATTAAACATGCACACATACATGACACATCAGTCAGTTTATCATCTATATAGTTTACAAAAAAGGTTATAAATTACAGTCTAATCCATAATTACTAAAACAGTTACAGTACAGGATACAAAGAGAGAGGGAGATGAATATTCATGAGGCAAGGGACAACATAAGAAAAGCTGTTATTAAATATGGGGAAAAACATATTCACTTGATATATTTACACGCAGAATGTCACAAGAACTAGTTGTTAAATGTTAAATATTATTTTGTAATTAAACCTAGGGAATACAAATAAAGGATAAACCATACATTGATCCATTATTGGTCGTCCCACTGTAAACTAATCAATGAAGTTTTAAGTAATAACTGACAAGAACAAATTGAAAAAAGACTAAATTATTGACAGTTTCTATAGTCTTTCTTGAATATTTATTTACAATATGCAATTAAGAGCTTTTTAACTATTGGGTAAAGCCTTTTGCTTATGGGGAGTGATAGTAATGTTATTTCACCGTTTGAACTAGTACTAGCCTCAGTTTACATGCTTTGAACATGTTAAATGATGAACAGTTCGACTAATTTGTAGTGATATCCTAGAGGAAAGTTTAAATGAACGTTGAATAATGAACTTTATTTTTGTCTAACATGTAGACTGAATATGCGCATTTTTTTCGCGGTCTTTGAATTTGATCTGTTAGTGTCTGAAACAAATCCTAGTATATAACCTTGTATCTGGATTTCTGATATCACACTGTCAATGGTAATCAATTTAACATTAGGTCTAAACCAGGAAAGTATAAGAAGCTGGTAGAAACCTTGAATATTTTTTGAGTTAGACTGTATTCAGAAAAATCTCCAACTGATTAATAAAATGTTAAACATTAAATTTACGATTTTTTCCTCTTGAATTACAGTAAGCTGTTGATAAAAAGTACCAAATTATTTTGCAACACCACAAATATAAAAAGAGGTTGCAGACTATTTTACCATCGAATTCGTTATAGTATTTTGAATAATGAAGAAAGACTTTTACAGAAAGCCGTCAACTAAACTCTCGTGTGGATTCATTAAACAATACACACAGTGAATTCACAGTGAGACAAAACTCGATATCGTTTAAGCGTTGCTGTTTAGAAAGATACTACAATTATAATTCGTTAAATAGATTTGTGAGGGGTTTATATTTTCTTAGTGTTGTTGTTAAGGTCTATCACTGAACAGTCTATATTGGCATATTTGTATCGCGAGAAGGTTGGCTTGAGAATGATATTTAGTCACAAGTGACTAGTAGCAGAATTAAAACACAAAATGAATACTTAATACACAAGCTAATACTTATATGGACTCAGCAGCTCAGCGGATAAAAAACACCTTAGCTTTTGAAGCGAAAAGTACTGAGGTACTATTCTCAATATGAACACCAACACTAGAATGCAAGTATATCAAGCTGACAAGTCCTAAATAGAACGAAATGCCCCTCCTGTATTCCACTGGTAGACACTACGAAACTGATGAAAAATGGTAATGGAAACCATTTTTCATTAAAGCAATGTTATGCATTTGTTCAATATAAACAATGAGATAAAAACTTAATATCCCACAAAATCCCTGATTTGAGTAAATTTCCAAGAAAAATAGACAGATGTTTTCATTTAAGGTCAGATTAAGGTTGTAGTGACAAAATATGTGCATCCATAGGAATGAAAACCATGTAAACAGAAAACATTGATATGTGCCTTTTCTGAACACAGTATTTGGGTGAAATGGTCGTCGAGTCATCATTCGAATCAAATTTGTTTTAGTATTTACCTGAGAAAATTTTTTATTCCATATACTCAACTTAGTGGTCAACATTCTGGATTTATAATAAGTCTATAGTACAAAATTCTGGAAAAAATTCATATGAAAGTCTTAAATCGTTAAACGAACATCTCATAATCAGTCACAAACTTACTTTAGTCAGACATCTAATGAGAACTATGAGAGAATCAGATAGTTGTTTCACTGAGATACATGAATGTTATGGGTTTGACCCCAGGAGGAATTGTCGATGCGCCTATTTGAGGGGATTCTATACTAAGATGAAACAGTTTTCCAGTCCTCTCTGGTTTTCAACGTTTTCCTTTACCTAAAGTTAGCTCGAAATGTGAAGTATGAAACGTAACTGTCTCCAGTAAACCTTACCACTAAATAGTTTTTTAAAGTTATTACATGGGTAATGTATGTTATATATACTTAATTAAGAGATAATATCTTTGTACTTTATCGCTCTCTTAGAATGTCAAAATAAATAATATTTATTTCGGTCAGATATGTGTTTATAATAAGTAAGAAAAGAATTATAAAACGAATAAAAAAATTTGTCCTTTGCATTTAACGAAGCCATTTAAGAGTGGAAGTATCATACAAGATTATAAAATATATATTACTTGACATTTACGTAAACTTATTATATATACTTTCATTAGATGCAACCTTGACTGACTACGTGCAAATTATTGAACACATTTCCATAGTGCTATGTCCCAATAACAATAGTGAATAGTAACTTTGGGATCCATTTATGGAACAATATTATGCATATTTTTTTATCATATAGTCGCTTAATAACTAAATTATTCATATTCATGTTCCCCATATTATAAGCTTTATTTTGACCTATAGACTATTATTATACGATTTACCATTCTTGAGTTATCCTTAGTCTATTAATTGCTGCCTCCCACATTCACAGCCACATTTGGCTAAATCTTGTAACAATGTTATTTTCTATTTTATTGTTACGATGTGGTCAGTTTGTTTGGTATAGAAACTCAGTATGTTGGGAATACAAGGATTCATACCACAGAGGTTGTTCTGGACTTAACTGACTGGGCTAGGTAGAAGCAGGGCCGATACGTACTCCAGACTGCTCGTATGGTTTCGATAATTCGTTGCTCTCTGATTGGCGGTCTTATCACGTCATACATTAACTGGGCCATCCACTCGGACACAAGTTATAATACACGTTAATAAAACTTTGGAGTTATAAAGCAAGTTGCACTGCGTAATAGCATTATAATCGGAGAATCCAATGACAAACTAAACAAAGACTTGGAAAACTATTTTATACTAGTGTTTCGAAATTATCACCGGTTGACTAAATACGCAACTGAACACACAAAGTTGAACCTTAGGAACTTACAAATTCCACGATAACTACAATATTATTATCCACAGCAATCACTGATTGTTAGTGATAGATATGTGAAATCTCGGAGTATTATTATAAATATTTGCACAACACTTGATTTTTCAATTCAGGAGATTTGGTACAAAACCCCAACTGTTCATGATGAAAACGATCGAAAGTTTAATTTTATTTTAAATCTTCCCAAACCTTCTAAATTTGATGAAAAAACGTCAAACTGCTGGTAAGAATGTGGAAATACTCAAGATAGATAACAGTCCATTACATAGTAGTACATAAGAAAAAAAGATGATTTTCAACTCAGAATGTTGCTCATCCACCTGGATTAGATAATACTACTACAAAACTATAAAATATCATTACACAGGAATATCAACTAACCTTGATCAAATTTAAACAACATAGTAATACGACCATATGGATTGGTAGTAGGTTTTCGTCGAAACCAGCCAACAACAACAGGACTACTACTGCTGCTGTCTATTTTTTCAGGTAGATTTCCCTCAAAATATTGTTTATCCATTAATAAACCAAGACCGCCAGTAAGATAGGAGGTACGTTGTTGTTGTTTATCCATGTTATCCTTAGTGTTTGTATTCATTAGAGACGATTTAGGAGAGATTAATACACCATCATAATTGGTATCGTTTAAAACAAACTCACCACGAGGATCAAGTCGATAGACATCACCTTCGGGTATAGAATATTCAACAACTCCATCTATTTTATTAGACAAAAAAAGCAATAATAATAATAACTTCAGCAACTCAATAGTAAATAAAATGATAAACAGAGATGATAAAAATGATTGAATCCTGATTTCTAGAAGAAATAAATTGTTCCTGGGTCAATAGTAGTGAACATTGTGAATGAATGACACTGTCAAGTTTTTTAAAGTATAACTTGATGATGAAGTTAGCATTTCACTACCATATGAAATGAAAATTTTGATGGATTTAATTTCATTAAAGAAAAATAAATACGAAAAATGTGAACGAGAGATAAATTAATGGGAAGAAAGGTGAACAGATTAATACAAACAACTGTGTAGCATTACAACTCAATCAGCGTTAAGATGCATTTTAATCTAAGCAGGATAAAAGTGTGTATTAGGATTAGTATTTGGAGATTATGATACACAATCATGATTAAATAAAAAGACACATTATATTTAACCATAGAAATTAATATGAATGAATATAGATATTCTAACTTGAAATAACGATTCATTATGTTACGATATCATGCTATTGAACTAATAGTCTTTCTAATCAATCTTTTACCATGTATAATTGTATATTCGGGAAAAATCTTCTCTATGTGGCAGTATACATAATGAATACATATACCGAAATTAGTAAAGATTACATAGTATGTTCTGCAAGGGAGTAGTGAAAGTCTATAACATACGCACTCTCATATAGTTACAACGCTAACTGATTGCATTATTCATAATCCCGCAATGACTAAATATTGTCACAACATACACTTGATTGTCAAAAGTAACTAAGTATGGATTCAGATAATTACTATTAGTAGTTTTTTTGAAGAAAGTTATATCAAAAGCTTTATGGATAGTAAATTTTCCTTTAGAAAAATAAAATATTGAAACTTAAAACCATTGATCGAACCTAGTGTTTTCCAATAAAAAAAAAACAGAAATAGAGAGCCAAGATGAAGTATTTATAGTCAACGTATAATACATTGTTCAGGAGATATTGATAATAGTTTACTAATGATTACAATTCCAGATTACTGGAGAATTGCTCTTCTACTAAAATGCATTCTTTCTGTTCCATGATGGACAATTTAGCACTTATTTAATGTGTAATTCAGTATGAAACCAAACATAATAAATATCATAGGTAAGTAGCGGGTAACAGGGTCATTCAATAATTCCTAATTTCTAACAACTATTTAATTGATATTAGCTCAGTTATGTAAACTACCTCAAATATCAAGAATACCGGTAAAAAAGATGACAGAACACCTTGGTTGACGTAAGTTTCAAACCGATGAAATCAAAATTATCAGTGTAAATAATTCTAGACGAAAAATATTCCTTCCCATAGAGATATTTCGTTACAATAATTTCTTAAATATGGTCATCTAAAAATAATTAGCGAAAAGGTTAATTCATTACTCACCTAGCTGTTCAAGTGTAACTGAAATCTATGTTTAAGATTGAAGTAGACTAGATTTATTACTTAAAGTTATGGATATGGAGAATAAAAAGAGGAATAATTGCTTATTTCACATTAGCGTAAGTAAATAGGTAAGTGCACTGAAACTAGCAAGTATATTGATCACTGGAAGTGTGTTCAGAAGATCAACTTTATAAATTTGGGTAAATAACCTGCAACTTACATATCAAGTAGTTTCAGCCACCTAGTTAGGATGTATAATTATAGGCTTCTGTTGTAATCTACTTGATCACTATAGATAACTGTTGTCTTTGAATCAAATATCGAAAACTAACCGTTGAGAATACTTTATGCCTTGTGAAATGACTAAAATTAGAAATCTAAACTAATAAATATCAACTCAGAGGCCTGAAGTTTGAGTTCGCACTGTGTAGCTTTAAAGTCTCTGGTGCGGTCCCATATGAGTACTGTTAAAGAGTACCATACTAGGACGAAATAACCGTTCAATGCTTCGACGTTTTTAATAATTGTCTAACCAAAGTCATTACATGATGCAAAACTACAAATTCAATAATCTCCACGCACACGCACACCATCTATACTAGTATTGTGAACTATTGAGACTTTCCAAAACACTGGTTTCACACAATATCATATCCATTATATATATATATATATATACCATCAGCTTCGACAATAAGTATATGATGGTACTGAAAATTCCAACTCATTTAATTATATAACTGACTGACAACCGAAACAAAATCTCTATTTTATAAGAGAAAAAATAAATAAATGAACAATTCACAATTAATATCCAAGTATCCAGACCGAAAATGACAAAACATGAAGAGTAGATGGTGGACATTGAGTGTATTGTTTAATATTGAGAAAAGAATAAAAAGTAGTTCAGAGAAAATTTTTAAAATATTATTGTCCACCCATTAAATTGAATTAATATACTAATTATATTTACACTAAACAATATACACTATTTGTATTGTAAATCAGAAATAAATAAATAAATAATTTGTCAAACATGTCATCATATCAAAATTATGATGGTTACACATAGAAATGGTTATTTAATTAGGAGTTAGGTTGTGAGGTAAACATACACAATACAGAGTGACACGATGGGCCAATGTTCATTTTAACAAACATCTTCATACCATACATAGAGACAGACATCATCATCATCTATATAATACAACTGCTGATCATCAACTTAGTCTATACTATAATAATATTCACAATAATAATAATAATAATAATAATAATAATAATAATAATAATAATAATAACAATAATGATAATGACAATATTCAGTATTATTAATATGATGATTATCGTTAGTATCAATGATAAATTCTTTATAAATATGCATAGGATAGAGTGAAAACCAAACGATAGACAATAGATTTACAAAATTAAGTGTTGACGATGCTGACAAGACGATCGCTGTTCAAATAATTGGTGACGGTGTACTTATATTAATGAATAATAATTATGACAATACTAGAAATGACATATATATAATGTGATTAATAGAAGTGAAAGATTGTTGGAGTGTTTTACGGCCAATATTTTCATCTATAAAAAATTAATTTCTTTGAAATCACGAATCGATCTATCTGAATTAAACAATTCCCGATATGGGCAACTTAAAGTCGTGTGAACTTGCTTGAATAAGTGTCACAGCTTTAACTGTGTAATAATATTACTATGTACATAAGACACTGAACAGTTTGTAAATGGGTGAATAGAATATAATAGTAAAATTTACTTACCAAGTACTATAAAGATAGATGCTCTTGTTGTTGTGTTGCCTGAGAAAAATGGCTTGATTGTAGAGCTGTCACTGTCGTTCTAGACAGTGACATCAGTGCCTAATTTATGCAGAAATAAGCATCTTAATTATTCGACTGTAATAAACATTGCAGTACACAAAGTAGACAACTCCATCGCCTCTAACTTATCGGTACACGAACAAAGACTTTCAGTCAAATAACACTATATTATCACTGATATCAATGCATGTGGGCAACCACAGATATAAATTCAACTGAGAAAACGCTAAAATTCTGCATTAGAGAAATTCTAAGAATGTCAGAGTTTCTAGATGCATGGTATTCAAGACAATCGGGAACCAAATGATTCATTGAAATGAACTCGTATCAACTCATATGATAAAAGTCAATCAATGATATGGTCGGAGGTCAACTGAACAAGAGAGTCAATCTCAACAGAAGGACAAATGAAGATGAAGAAGCCCACGAAGACAATTAAAACCAATAGGAGGAAGTGACTTAGCACTCCAGGAATCACTAAGAATCTCATTTCTACACGAAGTAGGCATCAATGATTTTGTCCAGAACGACGATGAAAACTGTGCAGTTAAACCATCTAGTTGAGGGAATTTAACAATACCAGAAACATTTTAATGTATTCTGCTGTAAGACACAATCATTACATCAGAACTATTGATATCAGTTGGCTGCCTAGGCATGTAAATACACAGTAGCAGTTAAAACAATCAGCGTTCAGATCGTCAACACATATTTAGTTCTCGTCAGGTGAGCAGTATTACACATAGTGCAACATCTAGAACTAAGTACACATAAATGTCAGATTGGAAAGCAAATGAGTTCACATTACACTTAATCCTACTGATTTCCTAAACGTACTTGTTAATCTATTCATCTCAATCATTCTAATATTTGTATCAATCAATACAAACGTTCAAGTAAGAATTGTAAACATAACTGCCAAATTAATAAATAAATACCTTTGATTATATGTAAAAAAAACAATAATTCAAATCACTGACCATTGAAAACAGATCCATAAATAGCCAATCGAAGGCACATTAATTTTGGATTGGATTCTATAGTATAAGGCAATATTCGTAATCGTTTTGCTATAATTGGTGGGTCTAATTGAATTACAATAGTTTGACTATTTCGATTTGCGTGAAGTAACTAAATAGAAAACAAAACAAAAAGAAACATGAAATAAACAAAACAAAACGTGAATAACCTGTTTGTTTCTTTTTAATACCTCATAAAAGGAAAAAACAAATCAGATAAATGTGTAAATAAATAAATAATTCATAAATGAGAAAAATACAAGTTATTATCATCAATTTAGTAAAGTTGCATGTTTCCACTTAACTTACCAATATGCAACCTCAAGAGATAAAATGTATAGAGAGAGTGATAACGAAAAACAAGAGATTGAACACATAGAAAGATAAAAAAAATGTATCAAGACTTTGTGTGTATGTGTGCGAGAGGGAGGTAGAGAAATATTGAAAAAAAATCAATCCCGTAAGACGAAACGATTATTCGGTCTTAATATTTTTCACCTCCCACTCTTCCTTAAATTAGGCCATATTATGATTTATGAGTTGGGTTGACGCTGTTGTTATTGCTTTATTTTGGCAACACAACCTATCTATTCCTTGATGGAGTTCATTAAAAACGGTCAACCAAATCGAAAGAGGAATGGATGGAGGGTGGGAAGGAGAACTGTTCTTCAAAATCACGAAATCATAAATTAATCATTTCTGTCAAAATTACTTACAATTTATACATATATAAATGTACACCTTCGTAAGTCTACAATGCACACTAGTAAATTCATGTGTGTGTACTTGTAGGTCGACACAAATACATATACATGAAGATTTAAATAAGATAAATGAAGTTATTAATACAAAAAGTGGGGGAAAAGAGTTAGGGACAGATTCAATAAAGGTGTATGCACAGCATATACTTCTCTTGCTTGGTAGTCACGTTTGTGTGTGTATGAGTGCATACATGCATGTGTGTGTATGTGCGTATATTTCGGCGCACAGTGAATATGAAATCTGATATTCATTCAAATCATTACAGTTATATTCTATACTGATAAACATGATGAATTCAAATTAGAAGTGTCAAATCACATGTAAACACAAAACTGTGCACGTACTAGATTAGATTTATTTTTTGCTATCGAGAGTTATCATTGCTCATTTGGGAATAGAGATTGATGCGTTTAACATTACTGCACGGATTTGTTTGTTGTCGTTGTTTTTTTAAAATTATGTGAATGATGTTGACGTTGGAGATAATTTTGTATCAGACGAGATGATACAAACTAACACAAAACCTGTTTACGAGTTAGGCGCAAGCGTTAAAAAAAAACTGAAATTACTGAAGAACATGAAGTAATAATAAAATCCATTATATTCTCATAAGAAAAGAAGATCGCCTCCAAACGACTGAATATAATCCATAAAATGATTGAAACATAATCTATTTCAGTGGGCTCCAACTATCTGGCCTATTCGGTTACAGTTAAATTTATGAAAGTTAATCTTCCTTTTAAAAAAAAGATTATGAAGTGAAGGCCTTTTTCATTTAGGAGAAATTTATGATCGAGTTTAAGACTGCTTCGATCACTGAGTAGTGATCAATGTCATGTGTGTCAAGCTTTTCTTTAGTGATGGTCAAATCCCATTGATCAACCTGGAATGTGGCCACTAGTCTACGTGACTCGACATCCTGTAGCACTACATTGAAATAAATGTATGATTGTTCCTTACCGCATTTCAGATACTAACTCCAACCTCTTTACTACTAACCCAGTAAGTTAGTTGGTCAGAGTAGAAAAGAATAGGATCGAGTAACAATTATGTCACAATATGAGTTAACATGCCTTATATTAATACAGCCAGAGAGAAAATGAACAAAGTAAGAAATGGGTGATGAAGTGAAATAACAATACCCGTTTTAATGTGAAGCCAAATATAAAAAATAGTTTCCATCACGGACTGAATGTACCTAAACAACCATTGAAAGTTATCAAGCATTGAAAAGCTGTTTAATTCTAATACGGGACTTTTCAGCAGACGGGTGAAAAACACCACTATGGAAAAAGTTCAAAATAAAATATTTAGTGAAGATTACACTCCAATTCGCAGAAATCGTTCACTAAAGTAATAGAAAGCTAGTCAAAGCTATTAGATACAGTATACTTACTGAACATTGAAAATATTGTGAATCATTTCAATCTAACAAAAACTACAGCCATAATCATCAATCATGAAACAACCAAAACTTTCTCTTCCATTCATAAAACGATAATTTGAATGAAATAATGTAATAATCAAGAAAAATATTTGATTATTCACAATTTACTAGTTATTTATTATAATTTAATGTATCTTGTTTAGTAAAGTCATGCTTACAGCAATTGTTAAACTTATTACTAGGTAAATGACCCATCATTGTACACATACATATAGATAAACCATTTATGAGTATAATTGCAGAAAAAAACAAACTTCATTTCTAAATGAATACTACTACTACCACTACTGTGACTACTCAGTTAACATTGAGATAACAAGTAAAGAAGTTATTTTTACAATTTTAATTCAACTTGTTCATAAGAGTTCATCATATTTTTTCTCTCTATAAATAAAATATCTATGAAAGGTGTTGACGAAAACAGTTAGGTAGAACGATAAAAAAGAAAGAGTAGCTTATTACTACTTATGTTTACATTTTGAGTAATCGATAGATGTTCCGTATACATACATTGAACAATAAGCTGTTCAATTGTAGTTGTTAGACATGTAAAAATAAGTAAATTATAAGGTCAATGACTTATTGATTAGTGAGTAGTTATGGCACTACAACAACTACTACTACTCTTATATAAATTCATTTGACATGTAAACGTATACATGCAACACTATCGATACTAATGAATATAAATCAATGTACGATGTTGTTGACAAATATGACTTGAAATGAAGAGAAACAGATAATTCGACCTGTGAAGAATACATATGAAATACATTAGAAATTTAACTAAAATGAAAGAGTTCAATAGTATATGGTTTTGAAGATTGTTGAGTTTTACTGCGATCATCAACCGATGAGTGTTAGACTACCATTGAGAACCTGGAAGCATTGGACAGCCGTCTCGTCATAATATGGGACTCCTCAATGATGGTTTAACATTGATCACTAGTGACTAGTTTCGAGAGGTAATTATCGGAGTTCTAGTGAGAAGACGTGACTAGTGGAGCTTAACCGTGTCGAGTTTGGGGCAACCACCCGCTAATATAATGGGAGATAGTCACGTAATGTCGTGGATTGATTGAGGTTAGATATTAACATCACTGGATGCCTGCTCAGTGGTCTAAAGCTTAAGTGTTCGCGTGGGAGACCGAAGGTCCTGGGTTCAAGTTCCACGCTAGGACGAAACGGCCGTCCAGTGCTCCTGGGTCCCCAATGGTGGTCTATTATTGATCGCTCTATGATCTCAATAAAAGAGTTCAGTTTATGATAGGTGAATTTCCAAATTGGTTGAATGATCTTTTCATCAAAGGTAGTTCACTTCGACACCTTACCTGGAAATATGACATCAGTACAAATTATCAGGTAATTAGAACTGCATAATGAGTGACGTTCATGGTGTTCTACTTTATGACTGTGTTAAAAGTGGTCCTTAAAAATAAAGACAATTCATGCGTTACAAGTATCAGTTCGTGGATGGCTTCAAAGCATTGAGTATGTATGTCGGAACTATGGAGTGAACAACACCGAGATTTGACTCACCATAACAAGTAAATATAACAAATTAGCTGATAAGGTAGTAAATTATTATCGACTGAAGTGCTTGTGAACTGTATCATACATACCCAACTACTGTCCAATGTATGCTGACGTATAAGTAGGTTGAAAGAAAGTTAGGACCGTCTAAAGCGAAATGCAGCATCGATTCACAAAGTTATTCACAATTGAAGTGAGCCATATAGGTAGGTTTACATTAACTGATTGGAGTCTGTGTGGCTATCGTAACTACCGGTTGGAGACGTTAGGAGACATGGTTCAGAATCAGTTAAAAACGTACAGATGTATTCACTCATCCCGTCATAAAATACACATACATTTTGTTTTACAAATCTATTCTTTTTTCTTGAATGAAATAGTATATGCCTAATGTTTTCTAAAATAACTGCTACTGCTACTACTTCTACAACATTCATTTTGATAATTTAATCTCCATTTAGTGACGTGGTATGACAGTTTGGAACTGATGTATATATGTGCCAGGAGGCTCTACGTTGCTTATGACTGACTGACTAATAAAAGAATAGTTGAAATGTAACCGTAGGCATGAAATGAAAATTAACTAACACTACTGTTTGCAAGTAATTACTAATAAATTCATGGAAAATACTTAGGAATATGTATCATCATTTTTTTAAACTGAAAAGAAGCGCATAACAGGAAATTCTTTTAAATAAGAAATTGATTACCAGGAAACCATACATCATAAATTTCATCCTAGTTGCTTTTGTCTTTTACTTACCTTGCTTCCATTTCTCATTCGATACTCATACCATTTCGCGTTATCCTCTCGTTGATACTTTATGATAAACATTGGAACAAATGCATTCTACGAACGAGAAAAAGAGAGAAGAAAACACTGGGGATATTAAATAGTTTCATAATAACTTGAACACATTTATTTTTAGGGATAAAAGGAAATATTTTCTTCTGATTTAATCAATTGGGGTTATTCGCAACATATAAGTGGTTGGTTTATCATCATCTGTACCTGATAATGATCGATCACAATCTGAAAAATTTACTGTTAAACAACAGATTCTGAAAATAATCTTTCTTTTTGTAAACAAAGTCAATCACGAATAGAATGATTGACGAAATCAATCTAGTATGCAGTATATATCAGTTTATTGACACGTGCGGAGAAAAGTCAAAACGAGATCACTAGTTCAATAACAGTTTCAGCAATAAGTAAGAATCGATAGTAGACTGGGTTGCAGATCATGTTCAATTTATGCAATACCTATTTGAAATAGTGAAGTCAGCTAAATTAAGAATACCAATAAATATCGTTGTAAAGTGCCAAAAAAATATATGCAAATAATTTAGGATGACACAGCGATCTAACTTCAATGACTAATAAAAAATTATTGAGATAGAAAATTTATGAAGATTGTTCATTTGCCCGATAATAACTAATTTTGAGACGTAAATGCTGGATTTTTGGTGAGAAGCTGTGACTAATGGAGTTCAAAAATGTAAGGTATGAAGAAATTACCGAAAGTGAAATAGAATGATGGTGGTACAATATTAAGAATTGATTGAAGTTAGAAATATCAAGCATTGAACGCCTACTCAGTGATCTGAAGGTTATCCACTGGCTGTGACATTTGAGGATCCTGGATTCAACCTCTCCTTAGATCGTGGAGGCGTACTTCTGAGGAGTCCCATACTAAGAGTAAACAACTGATCAAGGCTCCCTGATCTCCAATGGTTACTCAACTAAGGTCGATCCATGATGTAAACTATGAAATCCATTAAAATAAATCATCCCAAAAAGCGTTGAGAATTCACTTATGTTTCGCATGATGCGGGCTAGGCAAGAATAATGACATTATTAATTATCTGAATTTGGTGAAATATGTTCAAAATCATTGTTGTAAACACTAAAACTATGATGAAAACATTTATCAACGATTAATGAAAACAAAACTTCGAGTAAACTGTAATAGAAAACTAAGTTTTTGATGAAGGTATTAGTGGAGTGGACATAGTAGTGTAAAGCACAGCACGATAATATGTAAGAGGAATGTATGTATTGTGAGAAGTTGTTAAGTACTAATATAATATATTATACACAGTCGTCAATTTCCCATTTTTGCATCTCTCAGTGTTCTACCATCTGAAATGTATTCTCGCCTGATCTTCAAATGTTCCACCAACGCCGTGACTACTGTAGTAACTTCGACTCACGTTCCGCTACACACTACTTACAAACAATGTAATGAGTAGCGTCCACCATAGTAGTGAAAAGGTGTGGTGATAAACAATAATTAAAGCTTTTAGCTACCGGGATCATATCTTAGGAATCATAAATCGATCTGATTCAACATGAAGTCTAAATGTACTGAACCTACTACAATTACTACCTGAAAAAAACCCAAGGAAGATCATTTTTACGAGTTGTACAGTGAAATAAAATAACTTTCAACACTGTTAGATGCTTTTCAACATCCGAAGTATTTACCTATTCAAAAAAAGTACTACCATAACTTATTTACTTCTAATTCTAACAAATTCAATGGGAAAACTAAAATGCTTTCAAATGTATGCATTTCAAAACTACATACATGAGTTTATGCACGATGATTAGAGTTATTGAACACAACTATACCACATATTATTATCATTATTATAACTGTATATATTCCAAGATTTATAGACAGGAAAAATTAAACTAGTATGAAAATAAACGAATTGTTGCCAGCCATGGTTCAGATTTCTTTTGAAGACAAAAAATATTTCATTTACCCTGAGCGCATGCACACACATATATCTACAGTCAGACAGTTGAAGAATAGTGTTCCGATGCAAAAGAAAGTCAAGAACTTGGAAAAAAGTGGAAAAACAGAAAGTATTTATTCAAAGAAACAGTTAAATTAAACAACACACAAAAAAGATTAATATCCCTCTTAGACTTATTGTATCGCAAGCATTGTGAACAAGGAGGAACATGTGTGGTATAAGTGGTACAGTTGTTATCTCTTATCATCAACAGCACTGAGAAATTCATATATATATATATATATATATATATATTTTGATGAAATAGAGGAAAGACAAATAAGAAGCGAGAGATAACAACTGATGAAAATCGGAAAATTGAACAGAATAGCTTTTGTTTAAAAGAAATTTAGTAATAAATAAAACATTTATTTTACTCTTTAAATACGAAAAAACGACTTATATGTTGAATATATATTCATCCCTAATAGCGTACCTTATTTTTTTTAAGAAATAATCGCTTGTTATCACGGATACTGTTCAACTAAGCATACATGTAGCCCTAACCACCTTCAGTGGAGAGAATAGAGGAAGTGATAAAGAAGACTTTTCATCTGTTTATATAAGAGTATAGCAGCAATTGCTTAATAACCATCCTATTAACTAAACACCTTATCTTGTACTTTGCTATTCCTTTCTTTGAGCGCGGAAAGGGGAATTAAGGAGGAACAAATGTTATATACACTGAAAATTACCTAAAGCACATGAATGGCACCGAAAATGTTCAATATATTCACATATATTGTAAAGAGTCCATCAATTAATGTGTTTTAGTGTGATAGACATAGATATTAACATCAGGACTTTTCATTTGACTTATTATTACCCGTCAATTGAATACACAATTTACTCTCACTAATCAGCATAAAAACTTATGAAAACTAACTACTACTACTACTATTAAGATGCTACTTATTTCCTGATTTTGTATCTTGATTAAAGTCAGTTAATTAAATTTGGAACAGTAACTTGTTCATTAGTTACATTAAGTTACTAGGCCAAAGGTTACACAAACAACATGTTGGTTTCATTGCACACTGTTTACATATTACATAACATTATAATGTTAACTAAGTGTATTCCCGTTAATTTACATACAACATCTAAATAAGAATGATTAATTATATAAATTGTAGTTTACTTTAAAACCAGCGGTACTACATGCACACTACACGGCTACAACAACACTACAATTGACGAGGTCAACTGTCATACAAGGGAATTCATTCGCATATTGAAATGAATTTGTTAAATATCCGACGGACAAAACAACTTTACCAAACAAAATGATGACATGAAGAAAGAAATTTGATTAAGAGATTATTTTGCAATGCAGACGTATCTACTGACAGAATCATAGTGATTGGATTTATTAATAACTAAGTATTTGTAAACAGTCAATAATTAAGTAGTATGAAGATTGATGAGAGTAGTGAATACAAATGAATATGAAAGAAAATCGTCGATCGATAAGTATTTTTTGGATGTTATAAAGCTATGCCTGGAGCTTAAAAAAAGATGTTACCATGTGAACTACTATTACGACTACCACCGCTCTTGCTATCAATAATAATATGTAAATTGGGGGCGCCAATAGCTTAACAGTAAATTGTGAGATAATATCATCACCATTAAACCTTTTACAAGAATTTTCATGAACTGATGTAGTGAAAATGTAAAATCTAATGTTTAAGTAAATACAAAATACTCAATTCTATTGTTCTGAAAGTGTGAAGTTATCATTTCAATGACAGATATTATCTTTTGTTGATTACCATGATCAAATAAAAGAACTTCTAGTATACAGACAAACATTTTACTAACCAATTAATTAGCTGTTGCTACACGATTAGATATTCCCTTTCGTTATAGATCAACATGAAATAAAACAGAACACTAGATGAAAAAGGACATATTTAAGCACTAATTATCCATGTGAAATATACACTAAATAACAATGTACAAGTCAATCACACGCAATGTGGAATCTGATATAAATATATATCGACTCAAATGATTGTGTCTTACGTCAGCAAAATAAGAAGGAATTTAAAAAGATGGAAAGCAGATGAGAAAAGAAATTAGCCATTGAAAAACGTACAAGTTATCCAAAAAATTGCAAGTGTCGAATACATTACGACAAAAAAATGAAGAGGATGAGAATTGAATACTACTGAAGTGAAAACAGAAGGAGATCCCCACAGTATTTGAAGGATTTCATGATATGATATTCAAAATCTACCATTAGTAGGGGTTAATAGAAGCTCACTTGTGAAAAAACACTAGAGAAACATAATAGATATATTTGGCGAAAGAAGTAGGGGTCAAGAGATGAATAGAGATAAAAGCTAACTAATTTTAAGGGAGTTTACACTATGAAGGGTTCAGTTTGAAAATTAATTGTAAAGAGAATTCAGAAGCAGTGAACAGATAGTTCGACTTGAGATATTATTATCATTACTGAAGATGATTAACGGATGTTTATTTCTACTCGTCTTCGACTTAGTGTGTGAGAGCGAACCTTAAAACTTGGCAAATTTCTTAGAGGGTGACTTGTATTAGGTGGCTGTAAGTAGTCAATAAGAAACACAGAACTTGGGTTTAATGTTAATTCATACTTGTCAACACAGCATGCCTGTCATCGTGAGGGAACTGATATTCTTTAGTGGATTGGGACCTGGATTATCCAGTTTTACAATCTGAGACACTACGATTGAGCTATTCGGACCACGACTGAACTCATTTAAGAATGAGATAGTTACAATTAACTAATCACTGAGTAGTGATCAGTGATACATTTGCCCAGTCTTTTAACACTGATTAAATTTGTACAACGGAAATATTCGCGTACAAAGCTTTCAGAAATGTGACATTTTAAAAAAAACTTAGCATCCCATAAAGATTATGGAGTTTGAGAGAGGTTGAACTGGTAAAGAGAGATAAGTAACAATATACATATTAAGAATCTACTAGTAAAGTGCATAGAATTCGATAAAGGAATAAAACTCAACAAAATTATATACTTTATTAGTTCCCTACGGATAGTTTTCACGTGACTCTACTCATCCATCATGCACAGGTTAACGTATTCGGGATTTTGAGCTATATATTTATTTATTGTGTGATGGCATTTAGTGATACTACCCAGGTGTTCAGACAAGGTAAAATGGAGCAGTGTGAGAGTTTATGACTTACAAATAGGACTCCGAGTATGTCTGAATGCGCAAAGACACAGCAATCTCCTTACATATATCATTCAAATAAACAGAGATAAAAACTTTAGAAAAAGCCTATTAGAAACAAAAACAATCGTAAGGTGTCAATGTATTAAAAAAAAAAATATTCTGGTATCAAAAATTGTAATCAATAACAAATGATTGTAAATGTTACATAGATAACAGAAAGAGAGAACAATTAATTATTGCAGTCAGTCGAAAAAACACTTTGAAATGTATAAAACTACTGTCTCTTTAATTTGTTGCTGTTTCCATTTTAATCCAGTTAGATGGAATGATGATCGAGCGAAGGCGTTGTTTACATAAAGACAAGACAACAATAAATGATGGCTATAACGATGACGATGATGATGAATAATGATAAATAAATTACACATTTGACCTTAAAAAAATTGGGCCAGGACAGGCTAGTTGACATCTGACCTGATAGTATAACCAACCCCTTACTAACTTATCATAATACACATCATAATTCATTCAAAAAGCTATGAAAAGTGAAATAAACAACAAAAAAACAACTAACTAAACTAGACAATATGACAGGTTTGACAATAAAGGATAAGTTTATTAGTATTGATATAAGCAGCTTATGAAGTAGAAATATTCACCTGGTATAAATATTGTTTTGTTTTGAGATGATATTATTGAAAGAGGCTAAACAAAATTTAATGAGCATCACTAACATTCAACTATTTTCTTTTTAAATCAGATTTGATTAAATATCGTTGATATGAGGTTAATCCTCTAAGTATCTCCAATTAGACTATGATGGTGGCGGTTAAAAGAGAGGAATATGCGAAGATAAGGCATTTTATATTTTTATCTTATTTTCATGTCACAAATTAAATTGATCACTAGACAAACTGTTGCTATAGGTTACGTCATAAAACTAGAATCCGTTGTTCTCTTCACTGCACTCTCTATCTACTTAACTGCATTTTAGTTTCAGTTACTCAGATTCTACATTACATACAGGTTACTGTTTTAGTGGTCTGATCAGACGTCTAGGTCATTATCGATTTCTTAACTATGGAGATGTAATAAGTCTTCCCGGTTTTAGATTTATTTGAACTAAATAATTGTGAATCTTGACTATGTACTTGTATGTAGGTATTATGAAAGACCTACAGCCTGTCGCAATGTTAAACACAAGAAAACTCAAATAGAAACACGGATACTATTGTTGGCATATTTTCCTTTTAATCTATCCATTGAAGAAACGAGAAACGGTGACATGTAATCTCATATATGATAGATAGAATAAAATATTTGTAGCAGATGGACTGATGGAAAATTTCCATGAATCAAGATGGAAGACAGATATTGATT